TTCTTGTATACAACTCATCTTTTGCTTGAAATCAAGAGAGATTTGAAGATTCAACACTTATATGAGTTAGGGTTTGGGAATGTGTAATCGTTTGAACTAAATTCAAGAAGTGGAACCTTAATCTCTTCACCTTTGTTTGATTTGAGTTCAATCTTGTGAATAATTCATGAAATAAGCTCTAGATTGTTGATTTGTGGAAAGATCAACCATGCTTATATGTATTTTGGGCATGATTATGTAATTTATGAATGTAAGAAAAAGATGAGACCTTGATTTTATTATTGAAGCAAGATTGATGTGTTTGTGTTGTAATTACATATGAATCATGTTAGTATATCATGTTTTTGAGTTGTTTTTGCATGAATTTGGACTTGAAAATGAGTTTAGAAGCTTAAAGTTGAATCAATTTTCGGATTGTCCAGAAAAGCCCAAAACTACACGTGCGGAGCTTATAGTCGCATATGTGGAAAACAGAACAAATCTGAGCATCACTATTGCTTTAATTACATGTGCAGGCCGCACATGTGGAAAATAGGGAAAAAATTTGTCTTTTTCTGTTAACTTCTCCGACCCTCTGAATCTGTGTGTGTGCATGTTTTGATCCTCCGAAATGCCTAAAGATGAATGGAAAACGAATGAATCGTAAAACGAAAAAACAAAGGAAAAGAGAATTGAATGAATTGTTTACCGAATTTGTATATGTGTTATGTTGTGTAGGTCACCTACCAGAAGGACAGCCGCAAGACCAACATCATTGTGAGTAATAGTATTATAAAGATATGTTTTTAATTGATTATTTTGATTTAGGTATGGTGACTTATTCTGATATTGTGTTGTGATCGAAATGAATGAGTTTTATGAACGTTATATGACATGTGCAATATGGACCTAAGGTCGTTCCGTTTACATTATGATGTGCTTGGGCCCACGGCTGTTCTGTTAATGATATGATAATATACGATTGGGCTTGAGGCTGTTGTGTTAATATGTGGGCCCGAGGTTGTTGTGATATATGATTAGGCCCAAGGCCATTGTGTTAATATGTGGACCCAAGGCCGTTATGTTAATATGTGGGCCCGAGACCGTTGATATATGTGGGCTCGAGGTCGTTTTGTTATATGTTAGGCTTGAGGCCACTCTGTTATATATTGGGCCTGAGGCCGTTCTGTAATATGTTGGGCCTAAGGCCGTTCTGTAAATATGATTATGGATAATGTTGTGAATGATGTAATTGTGGAAGAGTATTGTGTTCACATAATATGCTTTCTTTTAATTCAAGATTATTCATTTGATTCTCTTTATTTTACTATTATGCAATAAGCGTCGCTCACCCCCTATGTTATATGTGCGTAGGTGATCGGCATGGAGGTCAACCTTAGAGTTAGCCTCAGGAAATTACTTATAAGGACCTCTCGCGTCGAAACTCCAAGATGGAGCTGTTGTCTTTTGACTTTATGTCTATGTTAAGACTTTTGTATGGCGTTTGTTATACTAGTCTTGTGGATGTGTAACTTAATGTCTTGACTCCTATTTTATCTTGACCATTTAAGCACCGCTCAATAGCCGTTATTTCTTAAATTTGCTTCCGCTTAAGGCCCCATTATTAAAAACATTTGTTTTTTGTATGAGGCAGTAGGTAATCGTGTTATTACTGGCTGGTTACTACAACAAAAAGTATCTTTGGAGACGAAAACTAATGACGAAAATAAATTTTGTCATGAAAGACGTACCTTTTAGTGTAGAAAATAATATTTCATCTCAAAATGTACCATTTTTAGAGACAAAAATAAAATTTCGTCACCAATCTACATACATAATAAAAAAATTAGGTGACAAAATTATTTTTCGTCATTATTTATATATTTTTTTGTCACCAATCTACATATATTTTTTATGAATCAAACTTTTAGGGGCATGTTTGGATCATGACACGTTGCCATCATCGATCACCGCCATCATCATCGTAGAGAGAGAGAGAGAGAGAGAGAGAGAGAGAGAGAGAATTTTGAACCCACACCCTTTATTTCCTTTCTTCTTCTTCGCATGGGTTACGGTGGCGAAGGTAATGGCGGCTAAAGAGAAAGAGTGGTGCAAACCCTAGATCTAGGGTTTGTAGGAGTCTTGTAGCAGCGGTGAAAAAGAAGGGGGTTCGCAGTGGATTGCGATCGTGATGGGTAAGATCGCGATAGTAGCAACTCGCAGATGTAGGGGTTGCGATGGCGGTGGGTCGGCGGTCGTGGAAGGCTGCGATGGCGGTGGGTCGGTCATCGTAAGGGTTTGCAATGGCGATGGGTTGCAATCGTAGGCTTGCTTGGTGGGTCACAAGAAGAGTTTGTCATGGGGTGGGGGGATTGGCTGGAGGTGGAAGAAGTGGTGGTCGGTGGTGGAAAAGGGCGGCGGTGATGGCGGTTGTGAGATTATGGTTAAAAGATGGTGGTGATTGCCAGAGATGATGGGGGATGGGATTAGGGTTAAGTTAGGTAAATCAGGGTTAGAAGATTAGGGGTGAGGTTAAAAGAGGAATTTTATGTTGGGATAAAATTGGAGTTAAAAAAAAAAAATAATGGGAGGAGGTGGGGGTTCTAATAAGAAAGGTGGGGGTAAATAGTAGCCCTCCATTATTATTATTATTATTATCATAAAGGTGAATTATTAGTTTGCTAAATATATTATATATATAGGATAAAATATAGTTTGTCTTTAAAGTATGTGTTCTTTATCATTTTAATCCTTCAAGTTTTAATTTTGTTATTTTGGTCCCCAAAGTTGTCAATTTGAATCAATTTAGTCATATCTCTAACATCCGTTTACATTAATATCGGATTTTTTTTTTTAATTTTTGGATAAAAGGCAATTTTAGTTCATAAAGTATGCGTTTCTTGTCATTTTAGTCTCCCAAGTTTTAAATTTTGTCATTTTGGTCCTTAATATTATTAAAACTTGAGGGACTATAATGACAAAATTTGAAACTTTAGGAATTAAAATGATAAGAAATTTATCCTTTAGAGACCAAAACTGCCTTTTAGCCATATTCTTGTTAGACGGAGTTAACCGAGGGCAAAATAGACTCAATTGAAAACTAGGAGGACTAAAATGAAAAATAACGCATACTTTAGAGGCTAAAATTATCTTTTATCCTATGTGTGTGTATTGTGTACGGGGCCGTAAATGGGTATGTGGGGTGAATTGGGAGGTGTAGGGCAGTGGTCTTTGGTGAGGGAAGGTTGATCCTTGTTATAATACCAAAAGAGAACTCCATAACCATGGCTTTTGTGGTTAAGAGAAAACATGATTACACTGCAAACAACAATCTGGAGTTAGACAAAATGGTGTATCACAACTTTGTTGACATAATCAGATGCAAATTCCTTAATAATAGCTTAGCAGTCTATGCAATCCCATTAAAACACATTAAAGATAATGAATTTGAAGCATAGTTGGATGGATTGATGATTTGGGTTTGTATAGAGGGCACATAAAAAAGAAAAGAAATTGACATATTTGTAAATTAAAAAAGTATGAGGGTGTTTTGCCTAAAACATTTATTGTATTCACACCCACTCACAACAATGGCATATGAGTTTCACCTCTAGTTAGTTTGGATAAAAAATGTGACGGTGCCTTTTAGTTCATAAACCACATAGATGTTATGTGATTATTTTTAAATGATAGGAAGGTGATCTGCATATGGACCAAAGTATAAGGAGGTAAAGTGAAATTTGCTCAAGTTTTTATTCACATTACACTTGCTCTACTTTTCGTTAGTAATTCCTTTAGTTATATAGTTGAAAAAAAAAAAAATATTGTCGTCTCTTTTACATTGAAATATATGTTCTACCTTATTTATGTTTGGGTCTTCGCACATCCTGTATTAGTTTTTGCCCCTCTAGGCACTAAAAAGAAAGTTAGGATAACTATAATAAATTTGTAGAATTTGTTATATTTTTTTGGGTAAATTACATTGACACCACTTGAGATTTAAGTCTAGTTTGGGAAGACTAAATAATTGTACTTTTTGACTTTTTATGAAATATGGGTTGGGTTTGAAGTGATGTATTAGAGAAGTGATGTGACTTAAATAAGATGATGTGACTTAAATAGGATAATGACTTTTTAACTTTTTATCTTTTTTCAATCTTCCCAAACTAAGTGTTAGTCTGATTACATCTCATCCACTGACGTTTTGAAAATTACATTACTACCATTGTGGTTAATATTCTTATTTCACAAACCCGCTTACTGTGAAGTAGATGTTAGATCTGTTAAGAGAATCTTGATGACATAAATAAAAAGTAAGAAAAAGTGACTAAATTGCTCTCTGGGATCTTAAAAAGTCTTTTGTAACCTTATATCCTATTTAAAACTACCAATATACTATAAAGAAAATGGTCCAATCACAAAAACTGTCATTTTCTCTGAAACCCTAGTAACAAAATATTTATACTATTTTTTTAATTTCTGCATGTAAAGGTTTAGGGGCAAAAATGTCTTTTGATACCAACGTTAATTCTATCTAAGTAATTACATTGGTAGGAGGGTCAGTGTAATTTTTCAAATGTCAGGAATGATATGTATTAAACCCAAATCTCAGGAGATATAAGTGTAATTTCACCAAGGATCCTCTAGAGTATTTTTTTCCTAAAGTTTCCAAAAGTGGTGTATTGTGTGGTTGAGATTTAATGCTGAAAAATTGATATGACTTGTCATTAAATTTCAACCACACAATGCACCACTCTAGAAAATTTTAGAAAAAAAAAACTCTAGAGGATCCTTGCTCTCCCTATTTTTGTTTTTAAACTTCTGAAGAGGTCAATGTAACGTACCCTTATTACTGGAGAATGAATAGCCAAATGGAGGCAATGGTTTTGCTATTTGCATTAACAAAGAGTTCAAACCATTGTCTTGTTTTCTTTCATTCAAAATTTTTATTTTTATCTTCTGAATGTAATAATAGCATATAGAAACTATCCTTCGTCAAAATGAGCAAATTAAGCCACTGGTGTTTTAAAATGAAACTTCATTTAAATGCCCAAACTTGAAACAGTGAAATCAAACACATCACAAACTCAACAAAATACACCAAACACAAACATAATTCCAAACAGAAAAACAAACTCCAGAAACTCAGTCAACCAATCTTCATCCTATGTTGATCATAGATAGTTTGATTTTGGATAAGCTCAAAAATCCCTTCAATTTTGATAGTTTGCTTGGAAATGACTTTGTAAATGTTAAATTCCTGCCCCAGCCTCCACCCTCAACCGATTGAGCCGGGCTGCATTGTTGATAGCATTCAATGTCGATTGAAGTTCAAGCCTTTGCATCTCGATCAAAGCTGCAGCTAACAAATCTTCCGATAACTCTTCTTTCGGGGGTGCTTTCGCATTCACACACTCCAAATGTGTACCATAGTCACATTGTGTACAATAATAGAACCAGTAATCAATGTCGACACTCTTAGCACATACATCACAGCCAAAGATCACCTCACCTTCTTTGTACCCAGTCTTATTGTATGGAAACGAATAGAAGAGAGTCAGCGGGTGATTGTGATTCCCATTTCTCACAGTCTCCGGCAAGAAAGCACAATCGACGTGAAGGTCGAAATTGCAAGCCGAGCAGTGGTAGCTAAAAGCAGACCCGTTCGAGAGACAAGCATTGCAAGTGAACGCATTGTCTTGTTTGTAAGGTGGAGAGCAGAGAAGGGTGAGAGAGTGGTTTGGATGAGACTCGTGGTTGATCTCCGGTGGCAATCCGAAGCATTGCTGGTGGAGATAGAATTTGCAATTATTGGACTGGGAACAACTGTAAACTAATCCCGAAAGTTTCTTTTCACAGCCAGAGCAAGTAATAAGATCCACTTGTCGGATATCGGTGAGATTTAAAGGATGATTGTGGGTGAAATGCTTCACTCCTTGAGGTTGTGGTGGTGGGGTTTTTTTATGACTTGGAGTTGGACCCATTATTGGACTAGGACTATTATTGATGTGAAGAGATTGATGGGTAGTTGAAATTTGAGGAGTGTAAGCATATTGGTTAGGAATATGTGTTGTGGTGGTGGTGGGTTGAGGAAGGGAAGCACAGTGGAGATGGAGGTCGAACTCGCAATGGGCACAACTGTAGGAAAAGGCGGTGCCGGGGAGATTGCAGGAATTGCAGAAGAAGGAACCGCAGGGGTAGGTGGGAGAAGGGAGGAGGGAGAGAGGGTGAGGTGGGTGAGTAGGGTGGTTGAGAGAGCGAGTTGCGAGGAAGCATTGGTGGTGGAGGAAGAATTGGCATTGCCAGCACATGAACACGGTGCCGACCGCAGGGAAGTTGCAGCCGAAGCAGTGGGCGTCGGTGCCTTGAGGAATTTGGTGGAAACTCAGGTTGTGGGGGTGGCTGAAATGCTTGAAATCCATCTCTCTCTCTCTCTCTCTCTCTAACTATGTGTTTGTGTGTGTGATCTTGAAACTAGTTATGTATGTGTAAGCAAGCAAGCAAGTTGAGGATTAGAGATATGTCAAATGGTTAGCATGGAAGGAAGATTCCTGATCCCTCACACGTATGACTTACTTTTTTTAGTCAAAAAATCAAAAAGTTACTCTTTTAGTAAAAAAGGTAACAATTCATACAAAAAAAATCAAAAATTCTCTTTTTTCTCTACTTTTTGCATATCATTTTGTAATTAGTCAAAAAGTCATCCCAAACATATAAGTTTTTTTTATTTACTTTTTTAGTCAAATAACCAAAAAGTTACTAAATTAACCTGTTCCCAAACGAGCCCTTAGCAAAAATTGTGGTATAGGTTATTTCTCCATCATTTCTTCACTTAGTGGTTATGACTTTCTACCAAGGATCTTCTAGAGCGAAATTTTCCTAAAGTTTCCTAGAGTGTTATATTGTGTGGTTGAAATTTATTGGCAAGTCACATCAGAAAAATTGATGTGACTTGCCAGTAAATCTCAACCACACAATGTAGCACTTTAAGAAATTTTAGGGAAAAATCACTCTAGAGGATCCTTGCTCATGACTTTCACCCTGTTTATTTTAACAAAAAACATTTTTTTTACAGAAAGTTTTTATTTTTTTATTTTTATTATGAAAAAAATCATTTTTTGATCGTGTCATTGAAACTAATTTACTAATGGTTGTGTTAATGTTCGCGACACTGATGTTATAGTGGTATTCATAAGATTTTAATTCAGAAAATAATTTTTTTATCTTTTAAATGTGGAAAATATTTTTCACTTAGGTTTTGTTTGTTTTGACATATAATAATTTTTACAAAAATATTTTATACATTTTTTATTGTTTGGTTGAAAAAAATAAGTAAAACAGTAATTTAGTAAAAATATATTTGGGCATAATCTCCCAAAATGTCATTAAAAATTCCATAAATTAATTTTTAGGAAGTTGACTTTTAGTTTAATTTTTTTCGCACATTGATTTTTCTAAAGTTGACAGTGTGGTTCTTCGTAGGCTTCTACCAAATATATACGTGGAAACGTTTTTGTTTCACGTATACCGGGGAAATTATTAGGTACTTTCGAAATATTCCGTAATCATATTTTTTTATTAATTAATTTTTATTATGTCATTTTATATTTTTTAATTATCTAATATAAAATCATAATATCTTACCTTCTCTATCAACCTTACTATCATGGAGTATTATGTGGCTATATTCTGAGACTACTACAAAATCAATTTACATAGAAAAAATATTTTCAAGTATAAAATATTTTATGAGGGAATAAGCAGAGCCTCAATTAAGGCTGTTTTTGATTGATTACCAAAAAAAAAAAAAAAAAAAAAAAAAAAAAACAATAGAATTTCCGTTGGCTTTGTCTTTGCTATACTAAATGTCAGAAAAATACAAAAAACATATTTTCCAAAAAACATCGAATGGATTTTTTACTTTTTATTTTTATTATCATTAGACAGTTATTTGTTAAGATACTTTTCTCTTGAGTTTGAGTAACGATAAAGGACTATATTATGGATTTGTTCAGCCATTAATTTTAAGGTTTCGGTATATAATTGAGGTGTGTACATACTGGCTTGAACATTTAATTATCAAAGAAGAAGAAGAAGAAGAAGAAGAAGTGAATTTGACCTTTGGCAAATAGGGAATCATATCCCATGACAGTTTGGGAACTTGAATTTTGGCTAAAATAATTAATAAAAATAAAAAAAATTAATAAAATAAATAAAATAAAATATCACATTTACAATTTATTTTCTTACAATCATCTATTCAATTATAATTTTTTTTTTATAAATCATCCTAAATATATATTTTTTATTCCATAAAATAATTAAAAAAATTAAAAAATTAACTAAAATAACTAAATTCTCATACGGCAACTTAGTCAACCAAATATTATATATGCATGCACCCTCATCACTAGTCAAAAATAGGGGAAAAGTTAGGGATCATAAAAATTTTATCATGAAAATAATCATGAAAAATTTATGATTTTTGGATTATCTTGATTAGTGTGTGGTGCTTTATTCTAAGTGTAATCGAAGGGTCACGAAACTTTCATGATTATTTTTATGAAAAATTTTTCATAATACCTAACATTGCTGCAAAAATAAATAGAAGACTTCTCAATATTTTAACTCAGACTTGTTTCTCATACTCTACTTCAAATGTGCGACCTTCAACGATAGTGTATCACGTTCTTCATTATGTTACAGATAAACGATTTATTATTATTATTATTATTATTATACATAAAAATAGTACGTTTCATATTAATTAATACTCTTGTATGATTCATATCTGTGTCTAATAACAAGAAAATAATATCAGAAATGTGATCAATATTTGTACCTAATAATAAAAAAAATAAGAGCAAATTACAGTTTAACTCCATATGGTTTACCTAAAAAATACGGAACCCGCTTATAATTTTATTTGTGACACTTAAACTCTCTGAACTTTATACCAAAGTGCAATTTTAGTCGGACATAACAAAAATTATAAAAAATCTAAATTACCATTATTTCTTTCTCTAATTTTCTTCTTAACGCCATTATCTTCTCTCCCTGTTTGCACCCATTTTTTCTGGTTCCTGTCGACAGATGGACCAGTTGGGATATGACATGTGGCAAAATCAAGCGAGTGTTCAACAGTTGTGAAAAAGGGACTAGTGGCATTAGAGAGGTTGATCACGTGCATTGGATGGCTCAGATAATGGGACAGTAATTAGGCCAGGTCATGAACTTAGTAGGCGACTTGCAAAAAGGGGCATGTGCAGGATGAAAGTTTTTCTCTGTCGATGGAAGGTCCGAAGTACTGAGGGACATGTGGCAACATGAAAGAGAGGTGTTTCGGCAGACAGAAGTGAAGGATTGGAGAAGTCTGACAGCCTAGAAGTCAGGAAGCAGTTGCAGCAATTACACAACAGTAGTTGTAGATTGAGGAGATCGTAGGGGCGTGGGGAAAAAGAAGTATAAAGGTAAAAAATTTGCTGAAAGAGGGGACATCATCATCAACAACATAACAACTTAGTTTTAGACTTAGCATAATCTAGGAGTAGCTTTCTTAGTTTAGGAGTAGGTTATTCTATAATTCGGATCCTTCTAAGCTGTTGTGAACTTTAGTAATTTCATCTTGGAATTACTTGTTGTTTGCTTTGTTTACTTTGTAACTTTTAGTTGATATAAGGTAGTTTGTTTTCTTCTTGTTTACTTTGTTACATAAGTTGATCCAAAGAAGTCCTCATCATTTTGAGGCATTCAAACCAATGCCATAATTGTTTGATTGTTCTTGTTTAATTTTCTAGTTTAAGGTTATTGCTTGGTTGTTGTTGATCTAGCCCTAGCATAATTCTTACTAACAATTTTTGGTACGCCTGGTGGGACATCTTGCATAATTTGGATCAAAAAATGGTGAGGACAAAGAAACAAGTTGATAAACATGCTGAAAAGAGACTTGCTGAGTTTGAAAAAAAGAGATGGAATTGGACTTGGTCATTGCTGATGATGGTGTTGCTCAGCATGTAGGCTAGGTAGTGGCCCAAAAAGGCCAAAGAAGTGGCCAAGCAGTGAGTACATAAGGCCAGACAAGCGGCTATGCCAGAATTTCCACAGGAGTCCTGGTGGCTCAAATAAGTGATGCAATGGCAAACCAGTCACTCGAGGAGAACCAGATCCATCTGGGAGAAGTGAGGAGTGTGTTGAAAGCTCCATTGATGGAGCATACAAGTCAGAGAGAAATAAAGGCACAAAAGGTGTCTTTAAAGGCAGGGAGTGCACACATGCTACCACCAATTGGTATGCCACATCAATCTGTTGGTGAGCCAATGTTCTTTTATAGGGACCTAACTGCTGAAGAAAGAATGCATGAGGTATTCCAAATCCCAAATGTTAAAATTTAAGGAAACTAGCCTAGAGGGGCAACCTGGGTCAAATGTTTTTTTTCTTTCTAACCACTATATTGGCCAAAAAGAGATTAAAAACAAAAATTTGTTTAACATAGAATTTAATAGTTATCCTAATATGAGGCCAAGAACTAAAGTGGTTTTTGAAAATTATAATCAAGGGTTGGAAAATGTTGGGTATAGAGAAGTTCCTAATGTGGGTTATGGAAATCAAAGAATCAGTAATTTTGGAGATATGGGTGCATATCCTGAAGTGCATAGGCTTGACATGTATCATGACCATTTAGTAACGGCCCAAGGCCAAGAGGTCTAACACCTCCTTTACATGTCAACAGGTACGGGCCTTTTGAAAATAATAATGGGTATATAGGGGCAAAATGCTTTTAACTATGTTGATCAAAGGGAACAAATTATCCAAATTGTTCAAGACCTTTGTGGTCCAGGGATGAGAAGGCCTGAAAGGCCTAGATATAGGAAGCCATACCTACAGTGGGTAGATGGGGAACCTTTTCTTAGAAATAATAGAGTGCCTGAGTTTTCTTTGTTTCATGGTGAGGAAAATCAATCAACAATTGAACACATAGGGAGGTTTACTTTACAATGTAGAGAAGCAGTGTAAGGTCCCGGTGTCCCAAATTGGGAATGGAGAAGGAGTTCCTAGGTTATGAAAGTAAAAACTTGGACCCTTATATAGCATTGAGGCCTTTTCCCAGGTGGTGAAATCCTTAGCAGAACTCTCCAGTTAAGCGTGCTTAGGTTGGAGCAGTTTTGGGATGGGTGAACCACTAGGAAGAACAAATCTGTGCAGGCATGCCCAAAGTAGACAATATTGATGACATGTGAAGGGTTCGGGCATTATAAATGGTATCAGAGCCAACTCTCTAGAGTATCGAGTGTGGGCCCCTGGCATCCCTCGATGCATGTGGGCGGGCTTGTGAGCTGGCAGGCTACTGCATGGGGACGTGCAGCTCTAAAGGGGGTGGATTGTAAGGTCCCGATGTCCTACATCGGGAATGGATGAGGAGTTCCTGGGATATAAAAGTAAAAATCTGGACCCTTCGAGGCCTGTTGTCGGGTGGTGAGA